GCCGTGCCTGGGTGGATGGTAGGTTCAATCAATGTCCATGATCAGGTCTGGGTGCGGTAGCTGTCTTTTCAAGCATGTATCGCTAGTACAGGTGCTTGTCAGAGGCTCCAAGATAATTCAGTATCAGTTTGATTTCAGGCGTGCAGTGAGTCATCGATGCCATAAAATGTGAACCGAAACTCCGAACTAGGTCAGAATAGCATTGTATGGCCACCTAAACAGAGCACGGAATTAGGCATGCTCCGCCAAACTAAAACAAGTGGCACTAAATTTCCCCTAGCTTAACCCTGACAGCTAACATAACACACAACTAAACTGTAGGCTAAATTTTAGTCCTAGCTCTACCTTAAACCTAAACCTCACAGTTAAGACGAACCCAAACCCTGACCTTCAACAGAATCCTGAACCTAAACCTAATTCTGATCCTAACCCTCAACCCTAACTCACACCTTAATTCTAGACCTAATTTTCCGGGGATATGACGCAAAATCATGGGTATTACTAGCGGTTCCTGTTCTCTTCTTCTGTTTTGGTGACCATAAAATACATCCTTACCCTGAAATGTGTCTTTGATCAGGAAGGGACGCTTGAGTGAGATTGTTAAATCAATCATTGGGAGGCTCAATCCCAAGATATTTCGGACATTCCAGGGTGCCGGCTTTTTGGATACACTGCCTTTTGGTTGTCTGTGAAAACTAAATTCAAGTTAAATGGGTATCTTACTAGTATGCTTTTTTCTACTCATTTTCGGTGACCCTGCCAACTAAAATATATTCTAGTGAGATTATGTGCCGATATTTACGTAAACATATATTTATTTTGAGTATAAAAGCTTAACAATCGTTTATTTACCACTAAATGGATACAAGATATAATATTTTGTGCATCTTTGGAATTTATAAGTGCGTTGAAAATCAATAGAAAATGCATACTTCTCAAGTGGTCATTTTTACTGAGCGTGTTTTTGCAGACGGCTGAGAAGGAGTGCACTCAAAGGCCGATACCCTGCTGCGTGCGAAATATTACGCGATTATGCCGCATTATGGTCTTCATAACAATCCCTGATCTAAACGCATTTCAGAATTTCGTTTAAAATTTAATGAGATCGGCCAGCGACTGTGCCTACTGCAGTTTTGCGGACAACCAAGTTAGCGTATTTGTAAAAACAGTCACTACTGACGAGATCTGCACTATGGAGGTTTAACAGGTTTCCCTACCGCCGAAAATAAAGGTTTATATTTGCCTGCATCGAGAATACTTCCTAACCGTTTCAGGTTATCCAACTAATAGTAAGTGAGTTTTACCTAATAGGCAAGATTTTCATAATTCCAACATGTGCTAACTTTTAAGGCTTCGCATTTCGGTTTGGATTACCTGTAGGGCCTCCTAAATAGGATACGACCAAAGGAACGCCCAACCATAGTAATAAATATATCCCGGCGCATAATTCCAGGAAGAGTAAATATTCCGGTATCCTAAGCCTAACCATAGCCCTAATCTTCACCCTAGCCTAAACTCTAGTTCTTGAGTTAACATTAACCCTTACCTTAACCCTAACGTTTACCTTAACTCCAACCTCAAATCTAAGGTTCACCCTAATCCCATTTTCCATGGAGTTTGACGCAAAGACACCTGCATGATGGGCGGTTCGTGTCCTCTGTCCTGTTTAGGGAGCCTTACCAAACCGTCCCAATATCCTTTTACTGACAAGGTCCAACACAAACCGTCTTCGTTAAGGTAGCCTAATTTATTATCATAACTGCTGACTGTTTGGCCCCTTTTTGTCCTCTAGATCGTCTAAGTTCCCTTCAGCTTACCGACTGCACTCTACGAAAGTCAACCATGAGATTACTACTCCTAAAAACTGTCGTTTTGTTCCGAAAGTGAAAGTCTGCGGCGGAATTGTTATCTTGTGAGATGTCAATCGCAACTCCGAGACAAGTTTTAGATTCGAAAGCATTGCTTACTTAGTGTTTTAATAGTAATTATTATCCATTACTTCAGTCACGTCCGGATGCCGGCTTTTGACTAAGCTTATCTTCGAATTCTTACAACATTAACCCTTCCAAAAACAACGACTTAAGTAGTATGGCTGTTTACCCAATTTTATACTCCTAAACAGGATAAGGGAAAAGGAACGCCCAACCCAAGTAATAAATGTGGCCCTACGCATAATTCCAGGAAGGACATATGCTTACAGTAATCCTAACATAAACTTCAACTGTAGCCCTACTATTAATCTTAACCCTACCTAAATATATACCTCCACACTTTACACTAGCCCTTACCTTCACCATAAAATTAGCACTAATTTACTTTCACCTTAATCTTTTAGACTTACCCTAGTTTTCGTGGAACTTGGCGCAAAAACACCTGAATTATGGGTGGTACTTATTTTCATGTTCTGTTTAGAGGGCCATACAAGTCGCTCTTACCATTGTTTCCTTCGTTAAAAAAGATAACCTTTAGCTGCTTATTGAATCTTGGTGGACAAGATCTCGCTGGGTGCAATTTTTCTGGGTTTTGGATGCATGTACGTATGTATTGACCATGTATTGGTGAAGATCACTTACATCCTGTTCAAACAGAATTCGGCTAATAAAATGAGAAATGAAATATGTCAGGATGGCAAACCTGCATTCCCCAAAATACCAGTTTGAATAAGTTTTCACTCTGCGATCTGTTCCGCATTTCTCCACTTACGCTGCAAGAGCGCAGTGGGCATAAAATATATTATTGTTGAGAATTTTCATCGAAGCTATAGGGCATTCAAATAGTTGTCTCTGACATCTATCCTTCGTCAGTTTATCAAGTTCCGGGGGTGGGAAATCGAAAATTTTAAACACGGACCAATTGGTGAGTGAAAACAATACTGTGTCTGGTATGTAATGTCTCCTCTCTCGAATGTATCAGTAAGACTCAGTGACTATTGCCGCCTGTTCCAAGGCAAAACGGAACGCCCCCTGCTCCGCCTTACAATCAACACAGTTCATTAAATGCTTATCTGCCATCTGCCTATAAAACTGCAGTGAATATGGATAATGTTGCCTACTTGATAAGCCGCATCAATAAATGGACAGATACAATGTTTTATTAATCGACATTTCATGGTCGTAAAAAGATTTCATGATTCTAAACTTTTCAAAACCGAAAGCCGCCCTTTTCTAATGCATAAAGGTTAAAGGAGGTGTAGTTTTCTACTGAATGAGTACCGTAAAGAATATTTGTGTTTATATTTTCTATAAAATGTGCTAAACGTTAAACCGGCATTGAAAAACTATTGGCAAAGGGCATACAACTTGAGCAGTTCTTTTTTATAGTGCTTAGTTGTTATAGGTTTCCGGAAACAAGCTCCCTCGAGAGTCTTTATCCTGATGGGACTAAACTATCTTGGGATTAGGTTGCGTGATAATTAATAATAACTGAAAACGCATTTCAGCATCGCGGCTAGCCTTTCATGAGACCGCACCTTTACCCACCACTTCTTTCTCTTCAGAGCCCCTGCAGGGCACCTCGGCGGGTCCGGCCTCGGATCTCTCGGGCTACATCAACCGTGGCCCTGATGATCGTATCGCCTACGAAGGAGAAGGTCTTATATCCAGTGGTTCAGCTGGAGTTGCTTCATCCAGCATCTCCGGCCTACAAAACGACCGTCGTCGTCGGCTGAAAAGCCGTGACAGAAGGAACAACGCGGGTGTAGTGAACCAACCCACCTTCATCTGACTGGCTCCGGTCTCCCTTCCCCCAGCTTTGTGGGTTCCCCCGTTGGCATTTCGGGATGGTCTGTACTCACAATCCCTCGCCCACCTCCCCATCCTTCTGTCCCAGCCTTTAATGGTCCAGCTAAGGAGCCAAATATAGCGAGTTCTACTTATGTACAAGCAATTTGTTCCTTAACGTGTTCTACGTTCAAGCATTGTGTATTTACTAGTTCAAGGTGACGAGTTGTAGACAGAAGTACCACCTTAAAGTTCGTACGCAGGTTGTCGGCAAGCTGAGTAAAACTCTAGTCCTAGCAAGATCTTTCGTGGAGAGCAGAAGAACTTGAAAGAGGGAAACCCTTTAAACGCCTTTTCGCAAAGTAAGTCGCATTTTGGTTGATAGGAGCGATACTGGGATGAATTTCCTTGTAATGTTGAGGGCTTCTGATGGTGGTAGAGGGGTAATCACTAATCGCCTTACGGGACATATTCGTGCTCTCATGCCTTGGGACTCACCCTGAAACCCCACTAGCTGCTAGTAGTAGAGGCAACACAGCATTACTGACACAGACAAGGGAGACTAGAGTGGCCTTTCCTGACTTATTAGCCATTAACAACCAGCCGTCCTCAATTCCAGGTTTTGCAAATTCTGAGGCGCGAACTCCCCACCTCTTGGTTAGAAGCCCAATGTCCTAACCATTGAGCTACTGGCTCGTTAGCTTGACGTGCATCTGTTGTAAGCTGATGGAAAGGGTAATCAAAAAATCGATTTTATCGCTCGATACATTTCGCCGCCAAATCGGCTCAGTCCAGCATGGTTTCTATGAGAAGAGATCTTGTCTTACAAATCTTATCACAACGCTAGAACACTGGACAAAAGCCATGGATGAAGGACACCCAGTAGTTGTTATTTATTTTTACTTCACCAAGGCGTTTAATCGAGTTCCACACCAGTGCCTCATCCGAAAACTGACCGACTTTGGGATAACAGGGAATCTCCTGAACTGTATTAAAGACTTCCTTGGAGACCGTAGTCAAAAAGTTACTGCAGGTGGATACT